CTTGGAGACCCCATGGGGATGCAGAGAAACCCCTGGGGAGGTGCCCAGCCCTGTAAAGGGCCATTGCAGCTCTGCCATTGCTGCAGCTCCAGGCCGGGAGCCTCTGGGCATGGCGAGCAGCCTTGTGAGGCCAAACCCTGGGACACCCTGAGTGATCCAGAGGGGACTGTCCATGAGCAGGTGACTCTGGGAGCACAGAGCAGAGATAGACGCGAGCATCCCCCTCCCCATCAAGCAGCCACTGGCAGCCCATGGTGATCTCCTCCTGGGTGGTGGAAGGTAACCACTGCCACAGCCACTGGAAAGCAGATTGTCACCCCCTGTGCTGGGCTAGACCGACCAGAGCAGTGTGAGAGCCCCTGACTCATGCAAGCACAGCTGGGGAAGGTTTCCTGCTCTGTCCCCAGCCCAGCCCACAGGCAGCCTGGGCCAGGCTGGCCCTGTGGGGTTTGGAAGCAGCAGTGGGGCATGGTGAGTGAGACATGCAGTTAGCACAGCAGCTCAGCCCCCCGAGCCCCAGTATGATCTCAAGAGGAGAGACCATCTACGGTTAGACCCCTTCGTAGAGATAGAGAGAACAAAAATATTTACCATTAGAAAACGTCTCAAGGATAACGTGTTGCTGGAAGTGTCTCTCCCCTGTTTAACATTATAAAAAAGTGATTTAGAAACAGTGTCCAGCAAGGAACTTGGTTGGTGTCACACGTCAATGGGTTTGACTCTGCTGCCTTTCCAGCCTGGTGGAAAATGTCCCTTTGGGCTTTTTCTCCCCCCACCTCCCAAAAGGGTCCAGTGCTACTGACTCCTCCATCACCCCGTCCCAAGCATCCCATGTCCCTCAGCCTCTCCAAAGCCCCTCCAGTTCCACACGCTGCGTTGGGCTGGCCCGAGCCCCATGCGAGAGGGAGAAGCGTGTTATGAGGAGTGTTAGTGCAGCCTGTTAGTCTGGGGAACAGGGTCCTCGCCCTCACTGGAGCAAAACCAGCATGTGCCAGGGCAGGTGGCAACCCGCGAGAGGAGCTGTGCGGACACTGCACAGACATGGGCTTTGGGAGGGCAACCGCGTCCTGCCAGAGCACTAGCGCCACTTCATTTAGCAGCCAAGCTGGCTGTGAGCCCAAGTTCTGGGTGTGCTTCAGCTGCTCAGCCTGCTCCACGTGTCGGTGCGTGGACGCGGCAGTGGGCACGGCGCAGACTCCGCTCCCGCCACCTCTGGCTCCACAGAGCTGGAGAGTATCGGCGGTGCCACCACAAACCGCCAGGGCGTGGGGCAGGAAATCAGCCATAAAACGTGAGCTGGGTTTAGTTTCCTTCCCCATCTAATCGTATTTCCTCCACATCCACCCCTCCCGCTCCATTGCCGCTCGTGGGTCAGCACAGCTCTGCTGCAGGAGGGAGCTGCACTGATGCCCTGAAATGTTCCCGGAAGGCCAAAATCGGCATCGACTGTGACAGCTGTTTGCATCTCCCCATGGGTGCTGCACCCTTGGCTGCTGAAGGGAAAGTTTTTTTTTTAGGGCTGCCTTTGGAGCATAAATATAAATACAAAAGGTCATCCGCCTCCCCTCGCGCTCCCCCTCCCCCTCGCGCCTGCAGACACGTCGGGAGCCATTAGCGCTGGCCCCTTTGCTCAGAGGCATGTTATTCATTATCTGCATTTTTAAAAGCAGCAATAAAAAGCGGAAAAATGAAAAACACCGGCCGTGGCCTAATGAAACTGTCACTCAGAGGGGCTGATCGTGCTTCCTGCCGCGTGGTGTGATCTGAAGGGAACCTGGACCAGGGGCCTGTCCCGGCAGCCCATCAAACGCACCGCGTACAATTTCAAAGCCCATGGCCCGGGGAGTGACTTTGCGCTTCCCCTCACTGGAAACTTTATTCCCCTTGAAATGATGAAATATTTTGGAGGAAATGGGGAAGGGGCAGAGAAGGGGGCACTGTGGATGGAGGAGAGCTGTTTGCTGAGCCCCGGCTGTAAAACAAGAAAGGGTGGCTATAAATATCCGAGCAGGTACCTCGGCTGTAAATCTGCCGCTCGGGCATCCCGGCGGGGCAGCTTCTGGAGCACAGTCCTGAGGTGTTCCCATGGTGGGGCTGGAATCCCCTGGGGAACACGGGAGCAGGGCTGGCCCTTGCTGCGAGAGGGGACCAAGGCATGGGAAAGGTGTGGTGGTGGGCTTTGGGCTGGTGCTGCTCCTACAGCCCTCCACTGAGTGCTTGATCTCCCCTGGGAAAGCGGACAAGGGGAGAGCACACAGGGATGCGCTGGCTCCGGTGGAAGATGCCTCCCCAGCAGACACAGTGCAGGGTGTGGGGACGAAGAGGGAGATTTCGGCCAAGGCCATGAGGACAAGTGATTTTGGAACCCCCAAATCACACCCTCACACCTGTGGTACTCGAGGTCCGAGTGCAGAGACCTCCCATCAAACAGACCGCTCTCGAGCATCTCCCAAATCATGAGCTGGTCTCCCACTCCTCTCACCCAGAAGGGAAGGAGCATCTTTGGTCCCAAACCTGCCCAAGGCCTCACACCAACGCAGATACCACACTCAGAGTCCTCAGCCCAGAAGCGACGCACGCGCTGACGCACCGCGGGGTCCCGAGGCCCCCGTGGGACGAGTGCTCCCCACCCGGGCACAGCACAACCCCCAGGGCCCTCGGTGCTGGGTCGCAGGAGCAAACCCGAGGACGGCGGGGACCGGGGCCTGCCAACATCCGGAGGGACTGGGATCCACGCTGGGAGCGGGCTGGGGACAGCGGGGACATTAAGGCAGCAGCGAGCTGCCAGGAGGGCTTTGCTGGGGACTGAGCCCCAAGCACCCCTCGAGCCAGCTGGAGGCTCGGGGGGCTCCTCCACTGCTTGCCCTGAGGACAGAGCAGTGTGTGGAAAGCACAGAGGGGCTTCTGTTCAGGCACTGAAGGGGACAGAGGGAGCCAAAAACCTCTCCTGCTTTCAGTTCCTTTTTCTTTTTTATTTTGCAATAAGAACTCAAATGTCAATTTGTGGACTTAATCACTCCCCAAATATAACATTTTTAAACCAAAACAGCTGTTAAACAGTACAAGCATATGAAACCAGTAAAACCTCTATCTCTGTTTGATGTTTTACAATTTGAAAACACACACAGGAAAAGGCCAATTCTGGGGGTGGTTGAATTGTCAGGTTGTTGGGGTTTTGGTTTTTTCTTCCGAGACAATTGTTCCTGAGCTGAGGCCCCACAGTGCCAAACTAGAACAGATCCCTGTGGCCAGACCTGTCCCCTTGACTGGCAGTGGCTGACAGCAGCAACTTCTAGCCTGGGGACATCCCCATTGCTCTCTCTCCAGCAGCACAGAGGAAGGCAGGGACCCAGCACAGAGACCTGTCCCCAGGTGTCCCCTAAAGTACCCCCACGGTCACTCCTGCTCCCTGTGGCTGAGCAGTGACACAACTCTGCACCCTGTGGCTACTGCAGCACCACTCACATGTGCTGTTTACCCAGTCTCAGCAGAAGGAACCACTGCATCCCCAAAGCTTGGGGAAAATCCTTCACCAGGCCAAGGATGAATCACCCAGGGAGGAAGATAAGTCAACCCACACTCTGACCCATGTCCCAGTGCACCTACCTATGCACGTCACCCCGTCTGAGTGCAGCAGGAACTTGACGTGGCAGCCGCACTTGGGCCCCTGGTCGGTGTCATCGCAGGTGTGCTGGCAGCCCCCGTTCCCGTAGTTGCAGGTCACTGCAGGAGTAAAGCGCCATCTGTTACCACGGCCTCAGCACCTCCTTCCTTGCTTAGCATCCCCATGTGGCACATAAATCCAGCTTGGAAGTGCCTCGTCTGTACCCTCAGAGACATCCCTCCCTTACTCCCAGATAATTCCTGAAGCCCTTCGCTTTCCCTGTGGGAACTTGGCAGATGCAAACTGTTATGTGGCTTCTCACGTCTTCCCTTTTCATCCCTGCTAAATGCCACTGGTGGAGCCCAAGCAAAGGGGACTGGCGGGCTAGTTGCTCCTGACTCTGGATCTGATGCTATAGGGGAAGGGTGGGACTTTCCTGAGCTCTGGAGTGACTCAGGAGCTTCTGGGAATCCCTGCCAGCCCTCCCCGGGGGGCAAGACGTACTGTTCATTTAGCTTAGAGGGAAAATAGGCTCACAGGATTAAAACCATTTCATCAGCGATTTTACACGTTTGCTGCAGACAGCAAACGAGAAACAAAATAAAAATAATTGCATAAACACACACATATCTATTTAATAACCCTGGCAGTGCCAGCGGGATGCTGGCAGGAGATCAGAGAGGCTGAGAACACTGCGACCCCCAGGGAGAGGATTCCTGCGCTCCTCACATGCCGATCGCACTCTCCCTGTTCACCTCCCCTTGGGAAAGCAAAATGGTGGGACGTGGACAGGGGATGCTGTGCCTCTGGGACCCCCTTTAACTGCCACTCCAGCCTAGACATGTAAGGACCCAACATCTCACGGCAGAGTGGGGTGGCAGGAGCAGTGTCTGTAAGGGCAACCAAGGCAGAGCTGGGCATACTGGGCTCCAGGCTCGATGAACCAGTTGGTACCAGGGGGTCGGGGCTTTGTTGCAGGGACAGGAGGAGTCTGTACCATGGGGGTGGGGTTAGGCTTCCCTGGGAGGCTGCATCCCCAGCCCCAGAGTGCTCCTTACGTTTGCAGTCACGCTGGTTCTTGGTGAGCTCGAAGCCAGGGCGGCACTCGCAGGCGATGCCTCCCTTGGGGGTCTCCCGGCAGATGTGGGCACAGCCATGGTTCTTGTTCATGCAGTTCATTCCTTCTAAAAGAGAGAAGGAAGCAAATAAATGGTCCAAAAGCTGCTGGCACTGGTCAGCAGTGGCAGAAGTATGTCTGAGGTGGGACAGAATGGGGAGTGACCAACACAGCTGGGAAGAGGAAAGGAGGAAAGCAAAACTGCTCAGCTGGCTTTGCCAAGCAGCAGAGATAAAAATCAGCAGAGATGCAAAAATCTCTCCTTTCCTCCCATTTTGGCTAAGAGATTCCTCCAGACTGCAGCAATTTAGAGCTGATACTGAGACGAAGGACTCGGTGCTGTGCAAGACCTGGCAGGAGGAGACAAGCCTTGCAGGGTGGCGTGAGGACCTCCAGGCACTCGGGCAGCAGATTAATGTCCTGCATTTGGTATTGCTGTGCCTGAGCAAGGGGCCTGCGACGGTTTTGCTACGGGATGTATATCACCCCGCAGCAACATCAGTGTGCTTGCAAGGGATTCACATGCAAATCTGCCACACCAAGAAGGGGCATGACCCAGCAGCAGCACCTAAACCCAGGCACTGCTCAGGGGTGGGACAGACCTGCCTGATAAAGGCAGGGGTGGAGGGTGCCCCGGGACGCCGTGCACTGACCTTCGGGGCGCTGGATGCAGGTGTGCTGGTTGTCACTGAGGAAGAAGCCCTCCCGGCAGAAGCACTCATAGCTGCCCATCATGTTGACACAGGTCTGCTGGCACCCACCGTTGCCCTCTGAACACTCGTCCAGGTCTGCAGAGGGAAAGTGGCAGGAGGTGAGCACAGCTCCATCGCACGCCGAGGCGATCGGGCCTGGGTGGGACAGATCTGCTAGGTACTAAACTACGCTGCCTTACATCTGTGATCCCCCAGCTAGAAACAGAGGGGATGCTTGAGGGCTGCAGGGGACAAAGCACAGCAAGGGGTGGGCACAGGGGCCATACAGCTTCTCTGACTGATGGGCCAAAAAGGTCTAGCCTCATTTTACAGAAGGGAATGCCAGTCCACAGAGAAAGGTGTTTTCCTTGTCCCGGGACCCCCAAAGCACCCAGGATGCTCATCCGGGATGTTGACTGCGGCCACCTCCTACTCCCTGCTGGTCGGAGCCCATCGCCAGCTGGAGATGTCTGCACTTCATTAGGGAGAGCTGGGAAACCTTAGCCCAGAGCAGGGATAATTACTTGTAAGGAGACTCGAGTCCCCGGCCGCTTGGCTGCCCTCACACCTGTTTTAGTTTAACGAACCAAGGCCGGGAGGGGCTGGAGATGTGGCCCCATGGCAGCAGCAATGCCCTCACCCCCTGGGCTGCTCCTGCTCCAGCCCTGCAAATCCTGCATTTAATGAAGAGCAACAGGCTGTTGCTCCCTCCAGAGGGTTTTTGTGGACAGTGGTCACAGCTGAACTCACCCATGCCCCGAGGTGCCAAACAACCAGGACATCAGGCTGAGGCAGAGACAAACCTCTGCTGTGGCCATCCCCTGCACCCTCTGCCCGTGGTCCTGGGGGCTGGGGAGCAAAGGGGCTCCCTGCCAAAGAAAACGTCCTGTGAACTCGAGCGTTGCAGAGCCACGGCTGAGGGGAAAGCTGAGCTTGGAAACACCAGAATCGCATGGGTGACAGTGCGCGCCGGGGGGGCTCACAGCCCCCAGCCCCAACCCCTCCCCAGGCAGCAGGGCACGCACAAAAACCCATGGCTCTTGGGCAAAGAGGTGGATGGAGAAATCGATGCTGGAGCAGGACAGGTGCCTTGCACCATGCCCCAGCCCCAGGCAAGCCCGCAGGGGGTGCTCAGAATTCTAAACAGGGCTGCAGCTCCATCCGGAAACTGCCAGGCAGCAGAGCCCAGGAACACCCCACAAACTCTTGGAAGGGAGGTGTTGAAAACATCTCTCATGCCCAGGTGCCTGTGGGACAGCAAAGGGTGACAGCCGGGCTGCAGCCAGGCACAAAGGGACGTCCTCTGCAGCGGCAGGAGACTCGCAGCTTCCTCTGAGGCTTGTCCCAGCCAAGCTCTGTCCTGCAGATGCCAATAACTCTCCACAAATCCCCCTGCTTAGAACCAGGGCTTAATGTCTCGCAACTTCTCCTTCCAGCTCCGCACAAGAATGAGGAGGCAGCCGTTCAAACCCAATGGCTGAAATGAGACTCTGCCACTCTAATACCTGTTTTATTAAATGCAACAGAGATGGGCAGAAGCCAGCAGGGCTCGTGTCAGGATGGGGGCTCGAATTCCTGTCCTGGTTCAAAAGGTCACCCAGGGTGGGCAGTCGAGGGGCTGGCGGGCTCTGGTGGGCAGGCACCCCGACACATGGCACCAGCAAAGACTGGGCATGATGCTCTGCTGTGCTCTGCTTCTCTTTCTTTTGACTAAGAGGATGCAGGCAGGCTGGACAAAGCACATTAGGATCGGGGGTGGGGGGGAAGGAGGATGGGACAAGCCCACCAGGGTTCATGCCTGCTGCCCCCAAGAGCAGCTGCTGAGCAAACCCAGCCAGAATGCAGAGGGTCTGGACAGCCTCATCTGTAGAATGGGCCCTGCCCTGGGAGATAAACCTGCACGATCCCTACTGCAAAGAAATGCAGATGAGATGCTGGAATGAGCTGAAGAAGGCTCAAGGTGGGAGCCAGGTTGTCCCCCCAGACCTCCTTTGCCTGTCTGCTCCCCAGCCATCTCCGTCCCCTCCCACCCAGCTCTGTAAACACGATGTCTGTGGCTCTCCGACTCCAACTTTCCTTTCTTCTCCTCAGGCTCATCCTCTCCCAGGAGAGGAAGGCAGAGCCGCCCACCCGCGCCTCCTCCCAGCTGTGTAAATCTCCCCCCTCCCCAAGGAGGCTGCAAAGATCCCGGTGATGGTGGTTAATGCAAAGCGTATGTGTCCATAATCCCTTCCCCCTCCTCCTCCTCCCAGTGATGAGCTCATTAATGACCCCTTTGCAGACACTAATTAGAAAA